AGAGAGAGAGAGAGAGAGAGAGAGAGAGAGAGAGAGAGAGAGAGAGAGAGAGAGAGAGAGAGAGAAGAGAAAGAGAAAAGAGAAAGAGAAAGAGAGAGAGAGAGAGAGAAGAGAGAGAGAGAGAGAGAGAGAGAGAGAGGGAGGAGGGCAGGAGGAGGCGAGGGAGGGCGGAGGGAGGGAAGAGGAGAGAGAGAAGAGAGAGAGAGAGAGGAGAGAGCAGAGAGAGAAGAGTGAGTGAGAAGAAGCCGTGGGGGTGGTGAGGGGTGCCTTACTCAGGCCTTGACTCTCTGCCTCGACTTTTCTTTACTCAGCTTTTGGTCTCAGCTTTAACTTCTCCCGAATATGTTTACAACCAAATTAACACCCATGGGCCCGTTGTCAGAAACAAAATTAGTCTTAACATTAGTCTTAACATTAACTTTTTCTCTTAGACCGTTGACAGAAATGCTGCGAAGTTACCCGAATGAAAAATCGTAGCAGCTTTCCTCATAACAATACGAAACAAAGTGCTGTCGACGGTCTAAAAAAAAATGTTAGTGTTAAGACTAATGTTAAGACTAATTTTGTTTCTGACAACGGGCCCCAGAGACACACTGCAAAATCACGAAGCCCCGTCACCGTGGCAACGTACCTGGCCCGCCCTGGAACGGCAGCAGAGCGTTGGGTATGGGGTCGTGCGACGACAGCGGGATCAGGTAGAAGTCTTTGAAGACGGCCGGCAGCAGTCCGATGACGCCGCAGCGCTGCTTCTGGTAGAGGTAGGAGTAGAGCTGCACGAGCACCTGCTTGTCCTCCTCCGTCGCAGCCTGCAGCCGGATCAGCGAGATCATCTGCAAATAGAAAGCGCGCGTCAATGTCTCCATGTACCCCGGCGCCACCTATGGTGTGTGTGAATACCTCGTGCGCTGGCGCCACCTAGGATGTGCGTGTCAGCACCTCATATCTCATACGCCAGTGCCACCTAGGGCATGCATCGACATTGCATGTTCTTGTATTATTACTACAAGACGTTTATTGATTATGTATTGTAGATTTGTAGATTGTGTTATTACTACACTAATGTTTATAGAACATATATCTAATCAAAATACGACTCGTTCATTACACTATATTTATTACAAGCGATATTAAAGTCCAACTTTTAGTTGAAATACCTTCAGGTAACGCACAACCGCATGGTTATTTTGATACAGGAGTAATCAGTAACATATCCATTGATAGGTGAGACCCAACTTGTCTACATTATTTTTTAATTTTTATTAATCTGAACAATAATTTTTTAATTTTAATAGCTCACCTTATTGCCCACTTCCTTGACCCTGGAGATGTAGTCCCAGACTTGACTCGGTGATATCCTTCCACATACTGTCAGCGTGTCAGGCAGTTCCTGCAACGCACACACACGCACATACACACATTACGTGACAAGCCATGTGGCGACACACCCGCACTACAGTTGACACCGAGATAACCCCCAGTACGCATTGCAATTTAAAGCACGCATTCTTACTTACACTGCAATACAGGTAGCTTTCAGCACGCATCGCAATTTAAAGCACACGTTTTCACATACACCGGAACACAAATAATCTTCAGCACATATTCCCATTTCCTATCCTAACTAAACAACATTCCAACTCCATTTCCTAACTAAACAACATTCCAACTCCATTTCCTAAACTACAGGACGCAGAAGCGACGGTAATTCATGCTCAGCGAAATTCATCCGGCTCGTGGCAAACGAAATGCACGCTCAACCCGACCCACGTACTTCGCCGAGGTCCGAATAGGTATCGTGCTGCTACCTGGTGTGAGTTCATTATTAATTATCATTCATTAATTCATTATATAATTAATTATACACGCACACACACACACACTGCTCTCAGTCTACCCCCGGCTAGCTGTCTACAGCAGGCAAGCAGCTTTTGTCACCAGTGAGGTTTGCGGGTATTTATTGCGGGTAGAAAGCAACCCTGAACAGTGAACTCATCACAGACAGCTATTGGCTCTGGCTGCGTACCTCGCTGAGTCCGTCCATCACGCCCGAGACGCGGTACGCCATGACGACAAACTTGGGCATGTCCTGCATCTGCAGCAGGCCCTTCCAGACGGACTGTATGAGGGGCTGCTTGCGCACAGGCGTCACCGGCTGCCCGCTCTGGCTCGGAAGGAATGACTCCGGCGAACTGCAACACAGATGGCGCTGTCAGCAAGCACGCAAGCGTCATCAGTGCGCGTCAGATGCCGAACCGAGTCCTTGAACGTTAGCTCCGTGGTTTGATGACGAGTGTAAAGCGGTTTTTTTAAAAGTAACTGTACACGACAACTCCTCGGTGAAGGTAACGTTTGTCTCGGTGCCAGTCCTAAACTTGCCGCAGTCCCATAAAATTTCTGATTTAACATGCCTTGAAATATGCCAAAGAAATATATGCAAAGAAATATTGACGAAATATAACAAATAAATATAAAATATAACAATATAATGAAAATAAACTAT